GGGAGGGCCCCGCCCACTGTGGGTGGTGCCACCTCTGGGCAGGTGGGCCTATGTTATATAAGAAAGCAGGCTGAGCAGGGGCCAGGGGAGCAAGCCAGTAAATAGCATTCCTCTATAACCTGAGCTGGACCCACTTCCTGCCTCCAGGTTCCTGCCCTGAGTTCCTACCGTGGACTCCCTGATGAACTGTGACCCGGAAGATGTAAGCTGAATAAACCTCCCCAAGTTGGTTTTGGTCAAAGTGTTTTGTAACAGCAATGAAGAAACAAGCTAGAACACATGCTTTCTTTTTCTCTCTTGTTTTCTTTTCAGTTTTACTTCAAGTACTAACTTCTAGTAAAGGCTTCCTCCTAAAAAATTTCCCAACAGTTTCTAGCATTTAAGCATGTCTCCTCTCTCCTTCCCACTTTTCCACTCCTGCACTCCCCAAGGCTCTGCCCACTCCTGTACTCTCTACTGCTCTCTCTAGACAGTCAGAACCTAGGTCTTGTTTGATTCTCACCAGTCAACATTCTTCATCCAGCACAACGCTCCAACGGACTTCACCAGTAGAAGCCTACTTCCCATCAACATTTCCACTCTCAGCTTCTGTCTTTTTCTGATTTCAATCTACTACCTCACAAGTGCCTTTATTCTTGTTCTCCCCACAATTAGATTTTTCTGGTTGTTCTTTTCTCTCCCATAAACTTTACATGTTATATATCACATTATTGCATTGTGTCAATAAATACTTCATAATAATCTAGCTATAATTCCTTATTAACTATGGCTGGGCCCTTTCCACTTACTACTACCATGGTCCTAAATGTAAAGGTTAACTGGGCCTACTTCCAGATGAGGAAACCTGTCTCACCTCTCAACTGACCTGCCCAAATGACCTGTAAGCAAGCAGCAGGGCCAGGACTGAGGCCAGCATGCCTCAGTAGTCCCCAACCAATTAGGCACTGTTGAGTGAGGTTGTGGAACCTTTAAGAGGTATGGCCTAGAGGATCACTGAGAGGTGACCACTGAAGGTTATAGGTCAACCGAGCTTTGCCTCAGCCCTTTTCTTAAATGCCAACACAACATACTGTTCTCATTTTTGCCACCATGCCTTCCCTGCTGTGATGGGCTGTACCCTTAACTCACAAGCCAAAATAAATCCTTTCAACTGTAAGTTGCCTTTTGTCAGGTATTTTGGGCATAGCAATGAGGAAAAAAAAATACAGAAAATTGATACCAAAAAGTCAGGTTGTTGCTGTGATAAACCTGATCATGTGGTTCTTGGGCCTTCTGACTAGTTTCTAGGAGAATGTAGAAGAGTTTGGAGATGTAGGCAAGAGAAGTCCAGAGTAATGAAAGCAAAATATGTGTGTTTAGAAGACCAGAACGCCAACAGATGTACAGACAAAAAAGACTGTAGTCATGTAGTCTCAGAGGGAAAAAGGACTCTACCAGGAACTGCGTCAAAGGCCATTTATGTTATATTTTGGCAAAAAATCTGAGTGTGCCCTGCCTTTATCCTGCAAAATTGAGGCTGAATTAAAAGGCAATGGACAAATTTGTTTGGCAGAGGAAATTTCAAGACAACAAAGCATTCAGGCTGTGGCATGGCTATTTTTACAGTGTCTACTGAGGGTTTTAGTGAGAATTCAAAGCAAATAGAGCAGAAAAAGTTGAACTATATGGTTTGTCAAGGGAAGAAGTATGAGGAAATTTAAAGGTGCAAACAAAGAGCTGGGGCTGGGGTCAAAGGTGGGACACCAAAACAAGTTGTAATTATTAAAGAAATTAGCATATAAAAGAGAAACTACACAATCTGAACTTCGAAAATTAGAAGGGTGACTTGAGGGCAAAATCCTACCGGTAGAAAGCTACACGGTATAACAATATAAATCCATCTTGAAAAACTTATTTAGAAAGAGAGTACCTGAACAAAGAGCCTCCAGAGCATCCAGCTCCAGGAAGACCTCCTAGGTGAATGTCTTCCCAGGTTCATCCAGGCAAACACTCAGTGACACACTTGTACCACTACAGCTGAAGTACAAGAAGGGTAGGCTAGACTGAAGTTGGCCTTCTCCACCTGGTACTGCTTTTTGCAGGAATGAAAGATACAAGAGTGATGGAGTAACAGAGGTTTGTACCAAGGGTCCAGAAAGCTGCTGAGGCAACATAATATATAGCAGGGTCAGCTTCCCTGTACTACTACTACTCCTGAGTAGTACTACTGCCCTGTACTACTACTACTCCTGAATAGATGGTGAGTGAATCTTTGAAGGTAAAGCTGTGATAGAACACAGATGATACTATCATATACCCTAGATGAAAGAGATGGAGCTATAGGGTTTGGTGTTTGTCCTGATGGGTTTTAGTCTTGCTTTGGTTCAAAATTTCTTTGCTATCTTCTTGTTCCTCCTTTTTGAAATGGCAGTATTTACCTGGCCATGATATTTTTGAGGTTTTGTTTCATTTTACAGGGTCTCACAGTTAAGAGACTTCCTTGAGTCTTAGAAGACTTTGGACTTTAGAGCAGTGTTGAAACTTTAAAAGTGTGGAGAATTTCTTCTCTTTTCTTTTTTTTTTGGTCTTTTTGAGACAAGGTCTCTCTGTAGCCCCAGCTGTCCTGCAACTCACTATATAGACCAGGCTGGCCTTGAACTCACAGAGATCTGCCTGCCTCTGCCTCCCAAGTGCTGGGACTACAGGCATGTGCCACCATGCCTGCCTCTGGGGATTTTTTCCTTCAAATATTCCAGGCTGTAACAGGAAAACGCAGTTTTTTTCTCATCTCTTAATTTTTCAAATTCACAGAAATATAACGTAAGCCTTATTAACATATCTGCTTTTTCTGTTTGGTTTAGATTTACAGGGTTGTGGCAAGAAAGGTAGGGGATTCTGTTGGTGGTGGTAGTTTGCTTTTGCTGTTTTATTTTTGCTGTGTTTGTATGAATGTGTGTACAGGTGCACTTTGTATGAATGTTTGTACATGTACATATGGAGGCCAGAGGTTGACTTAAGGTGACTTCCTCTATCATTTTTCACTTTTATTTTATTTTATATTTTTTATTTTATTTATGTCATATTATTTATTTTGTTTGTTTTTTGCTGTTTCTTTTTGCTGTGTGTTTGTATAAATGTCTGTACATGTGCATATGGAAGTTTTAACTTTATATTTTCTTATATTTCTTATATTTATTTCATTTATTTCTTTCATTTCATTTCATTATTTTTGGTCTTTTTGAGACAGGGTCTCCCTGTAGCCTAGGCTATCCTGGAACTCGCTATATAGACCAGGTTGTCCTTGAATTCACAGAGATCTGCCTGCCTCTACCTCCTGAGTGCTGGGATTAAAGGTGTGTGTCACCATGCCTGGCATCTTCACCTTATTTTTTGAAACAGGGTTTGAACATAGAGCTCACCGTTTTGGTGAGACTTGACTGGTCAGTGAGTCCTGGGGCTGGGGGGGGGTGGTCTACCTATTTCTGTCCTTTACCCCCATGTGGGGGATCTAAACTCAGTCTTTATGCTTGCATAGAAAGCACTGCACCCACTGAGTCATCTCCTCAGCCCATTTTTATTAGTTTTAAGACTCATCTTTTGGGGCTGGAGAGATGGCTCAGTGGCTAAGAGCACTGGTTGCTCTTTGCAGAGGACCCAGGTTCAATTCCCAGCAGCCACAAGGGAACTAACAGTCCCTAACTCCAGTTCCAGGGAATTTGACACCCTCTTCTGATCTCCACAGGCATTTCACAACAAGGTGCACTTATATACATGCAGGCAATACTCAGCATTAGCTATGGTTTTTAGGTTTCTTGAAACAATAGTAGTAGTTCTCATGGTCTGCAAATTTACTGTGTAAGACATAAGGGCTTCCTATGTTCTGTTATCCTTTAACAAGGTAAGCTGTAGTGACTTAACATATGAAGCAACAAGCTCAGAGAGATTAAGGCACTCATCCTAATTAATATGTCAAATAAGGACTATAGGAGCTCCCAAGCCACCTTTTAAATTTCTAAGCTGCCTCAACTGGCTAATTACAGAGTTGCCTCCTATACTATGCATCCCTACCTTTATGTCAGAAGAATTGAAGAAATTCATGTCTTCCTGACTTATCTGGAAATGACAACAGCTGACACAAGAGATTCTAGGGTCTTCAGCAATAAAAATCTTCAAAATCTTGCCGGGCGTGGTGGCGCACACCTTTAATCCCAGCACTCAGGAGGCAGAGGCAGGTAGATTGTGAGTTTGAGGCCAGCCTGGTCTCCATAGTGAATCCAGGTCAGCTAGGGCTACAGGGAGACCCTGTCTCAAAAAAAATAAAAATAAAAATCTTCAAAATCTTAAGGTTGCAATAGAGATATCTGGGAAGTTTTAGTTTAGCAAACTAGTGCAGAAGAGAACTATGTAAAACCTTGGAAGACTAGACTAGGAAGAAAAAATTACCACAGAATCAGAAACCCTTAAGGGATCAGGAAGAAGCACTTAAACTTGGGAGAACACAGCCATGGAGGATATGGTTTGGAAGCTTCAAAACACCTAAGAGGTTTGAGTGGACACAACTTTAAAGAGCCAATAATCACAATGAAGAAAATCTAAGAGAATCTAAGCTAGAAACATCCAGCTCTGAGGACAGTCCTTCACTACTTGATTTCACATGTAGTTTAAACATTTATAGCAATAAAGTGGCAATTTATTGCTTATCTGGTTGTAATGAGCATTCTTTCTTTACATGTATCACTAAGTCCCACAAGGCACAAAAAGGTGGTAGTATTGTACTTACTGTTCAGAAAAAAATGGCCTAAATATATGCCATTTCTTGCTCAAATTACACAGCTAAGTAAGAGCAGAGGGTCAAAGACAGGTCCACTTGACCCAACTCTAAGGTTCTTTTTCCTAAACCTCAGCTGCACTGGCAAAGGCTACCTAGTAAAAGAACATTTGCTGCTTATTTGTGGGCTCCAGCTATGAACAAATAAAATAGCTCTAACTCTGAAATCAATTTTAACAAAACCAAAACTTACTGGTGGCGAGGCAAAGCGACAAGATGGAGAGCTGCCACAGGAGCTTCCTGGGACAGAGCCAGCATGCACAGGCACTGGAACTGGGCAAGCTGAGGAAGAAAACAGAGCGCTATATCAGACTGCAATGGATTATGAGATCTGTTTAATAAAACAAGATGTCAAAACTACTACATCTTTGTGTTAACCAAAAGTTTGCATTCACCTTTTCAGTAGCACTTCCATGAATCAAATAAAAAATGTGACTAGCACAGTAAAAAATGAATTTTGTGGGCTATAAAGATAGCTCAGTAGTTAAGAGCACTGGCTGCTCTTCCAGAGGACCCAGGTTCAGTTCCAAGCATCCACATGGTGGCTAACAATCATCTGTAACTCCAGTTTTAGGGGATTTGACACCTTCTCTGGCCTCCACGGGCATCGTATACACATGATGTACCTACATACACGCAGGAAAAACACTCATACACAAAAAATAAAATTTAAATTTTTTAAAATTAATTTTGTGGTACAAAATACTATTTATTTTTACTTCAGCTTGCATTAAACTCTATAAGTTAAAAAATGTAAAAATCAGTACTCACATTTTTTAACTGGAGCTTGTTCAAGAAAGGGATGGTTAAAAAATGCTTCTGTAATAAAAAATGAGAATGCAATCTTTAAAAACACTTACTAGTAGATAAGCTAACCAAAATACCTTAAGGAGGCAGAGAGAAAAAAAATTATGTTGGAACAAAAAAATGATATGAAACAATAACTTCAATTCACAAGAATAATAATATCAGAAGTGATAAATGTATAAGTTAATGTAAGACTTCATACAGATTTTTTTCCTCCTTCCCTTAATGTCTATAAAAGACATAACATTATGGGCTGGAGAGATGGCTCAGTGGTTAAGAGCACTGCCTACTCTTGCAAAAGACCTGGGTTCAAATCCCAGCACCCACATGATGGCTAACAGCAGTCCATAACTCCAGTTTCAGGGGATCTGACACCCTTTTCTGTTCTCCTCAAGCATTGCAAGACAAGGTTGCAGTTATATACATGCAGGCATAACACTCATACATATAAAATAAAATAAACCAAAAAAAGAGACATAAGATTATATAACACAATAGTTCCAACACTGCATTATATCAAAAATGTAACAAGCATAGCACATTACAGAGGAATGAGTGGAGTTATATCAGAAAACAAAGTTTCTATATTTACTAAAATTCAGCTAGCATTTATATGAAGTAGGCTGTGATAGGGGCTGGAAAGATGGTTCGGTGGTTAAGAATGTGCACTGTGTTTCAAGTGGACCGGAGTTCAATTCCCAGCACCCATGTCAGGCAGCTCACATCAACCTCTAACTCCAGCATTGTACTCATACCCATAACACTCCCCCCTCCTACACACATATACAGATTTTAAAATAATTTTTTAAAGATACCTATCATAATCCTTTAGCAACCATTAAGAAAATAACTAGCTGGGAGTGGTGGTGCACGCCTTTAATCCCAGCACTTGGGAGGCAGAGGCAGGTGGATCTCTGCGAGTTCAAGGCCAGCCTGGTCTACATAATGAGTTCCAGGACAGCTGGAGCTACAGGGAGACCCTGTCTCAAAAAGACAAAAACAAAAACAAAAACAAAAGAACTAATAATTTTAAAGAAATCAATAAAGGAGCTGGCATGGTAGTGCATGCATTTAGTCCTAGCACTTGTGATGCAGGGGACTCTGTCTAAAAAAAGAAATTGACAAAGAAATTTAATTGATAATTAGAAAATAGCCTGCTTAATAAATATTCCCATTGGCTGACATCTTCTAAATTTATCCCCAGCCTAGCTCTCTCCTGAAATTCAAGTACTCTCTGATACCTGCACTTAGATATCCAGTGATTATCATAAATATAGCATGTCTGATCAAAACTCCTCTTTTGGTCCCCACAACCACTTCTATCATCTCTGTAACTTCCAGCTCCATCCTTTCAGTTGTACAGGCCAACTTATGGAATCTTCCTTAAGTATGTCTCATACCAAACCAAAAGTAAACACTACAGCCTTTACCTCCAGAAAAATCCAGAATCTGATTACTTCTTACCACCTTCACTGCTATTACCTCAACTTAAGCTACACTTTGCTCTTGGCTGAGTAACCAATATTCTCTTGATTAATCTCCCAACTTCTGACTTTCCCTTCATACATACTCTAAAGAAATAGCTAGACTGGTTCTTTCTAAAACACTAGATCAATTTTCCCCTGTTCAAAACCTTCTAAAGCCTTCCATCAGACTCTCTTCAAGGGGCCTCTTCAATGGATGTCCAGCTCCCATTCATGCTCCTAGCTGAAGCCTTCCCATTGGTTATTCCTGCATGAAGTGCTCCTCACACAGACAGCCACACAGCTCCCCTTCATTTCAGGTCAACAAGTCTTTGTTTAATTGTCAACAAACTACCTTTTGATTTATTTGTTTGTTATTTTAGTTTCCTAAGACAGGTCTCCCTGTAGCCCCTGGCCAGGTTGGCCTTGATTTCCCAGAGATCTGCCTGTCTCTGCCTCCATGCCCTGCTTATCACCTGAAATTTTAAATAAGGTAGTTCTCCTGGGTGTAGTGGCACAAAACTTTAATCCCAGCACCTAGGAGGCAGAGACAAGCATATCTCTGGGTGTTCAAGGCCAGCCTGGTCTACATAGCAAATTCCAGGCCAATTCCATGCCAGCTGGGGATATAATAAGACCCTGTCTCAAAAAAGTCCCCCCAATTTTTTTTTCAGGTCCGTACTTCTTTTCTTGTTTGTACTTTCCCACACTACCTTGCATCTTCTAACAAAACACAGAATTACAATTTATAATTATTTTCTTATGTCTCTCCCCACTAGACTATATACTATATGACAAAGATTTATCCTACTGCACATTCCTGGAACATGATAAGCACTCGATAAATATTTATAAAAATAGTCAAAGAAAATAAAACAAACAAAAATGAAATTGACTTTTATTTTTCTTTGAAATCTCTATACTACCTTGTAATTTTATATATCTTTTCAGAATGCATAAAATTAGAAAGCATGTAAAATTCAAAATTATTACTTACCAAAATCCATTCTATCTTTTTGATTTCTCTGAAGCAAACCCAAAAGGAGATTAGCCAAGTAAGGTGATGTTTCTCTGGGAATACTGAAGGAAAAAATGTTAGTTTGTATTTAACTAGGTTATTTTTGCCTTCATTATGGTAAATGAAAATGTCCAATTTCACAAATATTATATGTATTTTAAAAGACCTGATAAAGCCTCATACTTTCAAATGAGAAAAAAGAACACTACAAGAACCTTCAATAATCACTGGCAACTTGAACAGACCCCTCTGTGTGCTGAATACTGTTATTGCAAGTATCTGCTAAAATAAAGCACTTCATGGGCACAGACAGCATGAGCTTTAACAACAACTTGTATTAATAATTGCTATAAAATTCACTATAGGAAAGAGTCTCCTCCAATTACATCTAGAAAAGAGCAAAGCTTAATTAAATACAAATTATAAGGAATACAATTTCCAAAACCCAATATAAAAATGACAAATCAACTGAAAAAATAAGGAACAGGAATATACAAGCCATAGAATAAAAACTATTAAAAAATATTAGAGCAAGCTGGACATGGTGGCACACACCTGTAGTCCTAGCACTCGGGAAGCAGAGGCAGTTGGATCTCTGAGAGTTCAAGGCCAGCCTGGTCTACATAGTGAGTTCCAGGACAGCTGGGGCTACAGGGAGACCCTGTCTCAAAAAGACCAAAAAAAAAAAAAAAAAGATATTAGAGCAAATAAAAATGATTCAACTTCATTAGTGAAGAGAATAATATAAATTAAAATAGCTAATTGGTCTTCTTTATGAGACATTAAATCTGGCAGATTTAGCATCACATGCTAGAAAAATGTGGGGAAAGGAATATTCTCTTACACTGATGTATTCAACAGGAAAACCTATGTGGAGAGCACATGTGTCTGTCCAACAATTCCATTTCTAGCAGCCTATTCTAAAAAAAAATGTACAATGGTGTATTACCCCCTGCACACACATCTTCACTAAAGTCCATTTGTAGTAACAAAAACAAAAAAAGGAGTATGATTACATAAAATGGATAATTATAGGACTCTATGTAGCCATTAAAAAGGATGTATAGCATTCTATATACTGCTATCAAAGTTATAAATATAGTATAGTATAAAAAACAAACCAGATAGGACAATCCATGCCTGTAATACTGGCACTCTGGAACTGGGACTTGAAGTTCAAGGTTAGCCTGAGCTGCATAGCAAGAATCCATCTCAAATATTTTAAAAATGCAATTATCTTGCCTGGCATGGTGGTGCCCGCCTTTAATCCCAGCATTTGGGAGGCAGAGGCAGGCTTTGTGAGATTGAGGCCAGCCTGGTCTACATAGTGAGTTCCAGGTCAGCTGGGGCCTATCTCAAAAGAAAAAAAAATGCAATTATCTTAAGCTATACGTGTACACACACAGAGAGACACACACTCAGAATGCATAAAGAACTTCCACAAAAAAAAAATTTGGACTTAACAAACTCTTGTTTATTCCTACAGAGGACACAGCCTAGGTAGAACTTATACTTTACAAAACTTTATTGTTTGCCTCTACACAAACAATACACATAATTTTGGTGATATGGTGATTTTTTTCTTAAAATTTACTTTTTTGGTATGGAGGGGGTTGAGACAAGGTCTCCCTGTAGCCACAACAGGCCTGGAACTCACTATGTAGAACAGGCTAGCCTCAATCTCACAAAGCCTGCCTCTACCACACCTGGCTTTGAATTTGCTTTTTTTCTTTTCTTTTCTTTCTTTTTTTTTTTTTTTTTGGTTTTTTTTGAGACAGGGTCTCCCTGTAGCCCCAGCTGCCCTGGAACTTGCTATGTAGACCAGGCTGGCCTTGAACTCAGAGATTCACCTGCCTCTGCCTCCCTCCCGAGTGCTGGGACTAAAGGCATGTGCCACCTTGCCCTGCAAATTTGCATTTTATACACAAAAAAAGAAGTGGTACTACCCAAGTACTTCTGATGTGTTAGGAACTTTTTAATTTTCTATTACATTTCTATAAAATGAAAAAGACTCATTAACAGGGGCTGGAGAGAGGGCTCTGCAGTTAAGAGCACTGGCTGCTTTTGCAGAGGACCTGCGTTGAATTCCCAGCACCCACAAAGTAGCTAATAACCATCTGTAACTTCAGTTCCAGGGGAATCTGGTGCCCTCTCTGACCTCTGCGGGCATTGCACAACATAGGTGCACTTACATACATATAGGCAATACACTCATAATAAAAAATTATAAAATAGGGGCTGGAGAGATGGGTCAGTGGTTAAGAACACTGGTTGTGCTGGGCGAGATGGCGCATGCCTTTAGTCCCAGCACTTGGGAGGCAGAGGCAGGGGGGGCTTTTTGGGTTTTAGGGCAGCCTCGGCCACACACTGGGTTTCAGCACAGCAGGGGCTACCAACAGAGCCCGTCCTCAAAAGACAAAAAAAAAAAAAAAAAAAAAAAAAAAAAAAAAAAAAAAGAAAGAAAGAAAGAAAGAAATCTAAATATAATATAAACACATACCTAGGCATTAGGCTCCTGTTTTTTTCATAAAACATCCTTAGGTCTTGAGGACTATTGGCCTATTAAGGAGAAAGAAAAAGTCAATTTTCTAAAAGAGAAGGGAGCAAAACTTTCAAAATTAATACTCATTAAAACTCCTACTAGAGAACATGGCTCCCTAACAGAACATTATTACTGTGTATAATCTGGGTATGTTTTACATTATAACATTCAAGGGACAAGAAAAAGCATATTGCCAAGAGCCAGTTTCCCAAGTACTCTTCTAGGAAGAGCTGCAGGATGAGTGAAAATGTCTCTGTACAAACCACACTTGGAAATGAAAAGCGACTAGCCTGGCCATGTTATAGATTTCTTTTTATATCATGTTGGACAGATATTTTCACTTTGTTCCAGTTTTCAGGTTTAAAAAATGTTTATAACTAATAAATTATAACATGACACTATAAATTCAAGAGAAGTTGTCATATTATCCTCTAAAAATCAGCCTCTTGACAGGCAAAGGAGATGAGGAATAAAGACCCAAAGCTTCAATAATTACCTTCCTCTCACCCAGAAGTGCCAGGAATAGAGTTAGAAATGAATTTCCAGAGATTTACCAGAATAGTCCCCACCTCACTTGAATTCCAGGACCCCAAAACCAGGCTTCCAGGTTTTCTGTCACCATTATATCCACTTCTTAGCAGCTGCTAGCCCTGACCCTGCTTTCAGGAGTCTTGAAAACATCTACCAGACTTCACACCCAGTCTAACTACAAAGGGCAGGCAAATAAAAGGGAGAAGCAAAAGATGTCCTGGCTCAGCACAGCAGTTTTTGTCTGTAACAAAATAAAAAGGAGCCAAAAACACTGCTTTCAAAGTATCTCTTATTTATTTATTTTAGTCTTTTTGAGACAGGGTGTCCCAGTAGCCCCAGCTGGCCTGGAACTCACTGTGTAGACCAGGCAGAACTCACAGAGATGGCATATGCCATCACACCCAACTAGTATCCCTTATTTTACAAATTAAAGGTTAGAAGATCCCAAAAAGGAGGACATAATAAAAAGTTAGACTACCTGAAAAGGTGGTTTTCCAACTAGGCATTGATAGATCACAGTTCCTATGCTCCACAAATCTGCCTTAGCATCATAATGTTGAGACATAATAACCTCAGGAGCCTGTTTACAAAATTTCAAGAGACATGCATTATGTTAATGTGTATACATTAATTCACTGATAATGATCATATGCCTACCTAATAATGTTTCAAAATAGTATGATATTACTCTAATCAAAGGGTACTGCAATGAACTTAGAATTACATTATTTTGTCAGATGTGGTGACACAAGCCTTTAAGCCCAGCCTGGTCTACATACTAAATTCTAGGCCAGCTAGAGTTACATAGTGAGGCCCTGCCTTTAAAAAAAGGAATTATATTATTGCAAGAGATTTACCAGTAAATAACATTTCATGAAAAGGATAAATATTTCTACATATTATAACAGATACAAGTATAGTAAGAGTATTAAATAAAGAAAATATATGCCAACTACAGGACAGAGATTCCCTCAGGGACATGAGAAAAAAAAAGAGCATAGTGCAATCAGGAAAAGACACATAAGGACATGGATTGTCGGAAATTCTTTCTGAAAAAAGATCAAGGCAAACATAGTAAAATGTTTTTGCTGAATATGGATGGCAGGTACATAGTTGTTTGATATATTATCCCATATGTTTTTCAATAATTTGAAAACCTCTAATAGGAAACCACAATATAAATAAAAGCTATCTAAAAAGCCAGCCGGGCTTGGTGGTGTACATCTTTAATCCCAGCACACTGGAAGCAGAGACAGGCAGATTTCCGTGCGATCCAGGCCAGCATGGTCTACATAGTGAGTTACAGGCCAGCTGGAGCTATAGGGAGACTGTGTCTCAAAACAAAAACAAAAAACAAACAAAAGATAAAACAACAATAAAACCTATCTTAAGAGCAAAGACAGGGGCTGGAGAGATGGCTCAGCAGTTAAGAATACTGATTGTTCTTGCAGAAGATCCAGGTTCGAATCCCAGCATCCACAGGGCAGCTAACAACTGTAACTCCAGTTCCAGGGGATCCAATGGCCTCTTCTGTCTTCCACGGGCATTGCACGACACAGGTGCACTTACCTACATGCAGGCAATACATTCATACACATAAAAATAATAAATAAAATATTTTCAAAAAAGCAAACCGTCTTGGTATAGAAGTACATGCTTATAATCTTAGTGCTTGGGAGGCTAAGGGTTTACAAACTTCAGACTTAACCCTTACAACACCCCCCACACACAAAAGCATTTCTCTGCAATTTTGTTATAATCATTTTGTCATCTCTCATCAAATATTGCTTTTTCT